AGGTGATGCTTAATGAGAAGAACACACACCTAAAATTTCAAGTAATTTGGATTTATAGAAAAAAATTAAAATCCAAATACGAATTGATGTCGTGACCGTCAAATTGGCCCAGATTCAATCTGGGCCATTGGGCTCATAGCTTCCTGAAGATATTCATATATATATATATATTCTTTTACGTTTGTCTAATATTTTTTTTATGTCCCCTCGAAATCCCTACTGGATAAACGTTTATCGTAAAAAAAAAAAATATTCTAGTTACTCTTCAATATTTCTTGGATCACTAATTTAGAGTGATTTAGACCCAATCTTGATCATTGATCCGACAAGGATCTATGGTGGAATGATCTCCTTCACCAGGGCAGATTTTGAACCATTGGCATGACAAACTATATTGACATAGAAGTGGTAAGATAAAGTGATTTGCTTAAAGACTCGAAAACTTGAACCAAAATATACAATGTTCTGTTTATAGGCCGAAATTAGGAGGAAGGTCGGTCATCTTGCAGTTTTTTATGTTTGTTTAAAGTTGCCGTTCGCATCCTCGGACCCATTTTAAACTTTTTTTTTTTTTCTTTTCATTAGTAGGGTAAAGTTTTTTACATTAGTAGCGAAATGCCAAGGTGGTCCAAGGTTAGAATAGTCGGATCGATGCTGAACAGTCTGAGGTCCCCATCCTCGGACCACTGTTTATCTCAAAAAATAAGAAATAAAGAGCAGTCCGAGGATGGGGACCTCATACCACCCTGGAACTGAGTTGTGCTCAGTCCATAGAGTGGTTTGAGGTTCTCATCCTTCGACTACTATATTTTCTCAAACAAAAAAGACATATAGTGCATTATGAGGATGGCGATCTCGGACCACTGTTTTTTTCGAAAAATAAGAAAGAAAGAGAGGTCCGAGGATAGGAACCTCAAACCGCTAAAAAACCCAGAGGCGGTATGAGGCACTGCCGCTGGAGCTCATACAGATTTAAAAAAAACTAAAAAATAAAATAAAAATGGATTTGTAGGATGGCTCCCTCATACCGAAGGGCAATTTTAGAAAACATAAAAAAAATTGCGGATTGGCCGATCTTCATTTTAAAATTTTCAAATTTTTGTGCGTAAAGATAAAACAATTCAACCCGATTGTGCCAGCGCTCTACACGCTCCAAACTTTGGAGCAATTAAAATAAGCAGGGATCGCTGAGCATCTCCCAAACTTTAGAGAAATTGATGGTAAAAAGGTGCGCATCTTGGATCATCGCAACTTATTACCACCAAAGACTCGAGTTTTGTAATGTATGCCCGGGTGTTCCCTCATCCTCACCATGAGGGCTGTTACGAGTGACCAACAAAACAGAATCCACCCCATACATCAATCTGCAAAAACCTCCTCCACTTTCTCTCTCTCTATTTCTTTGCGCGTGAGTGGAAAGCAGAGAGAGAGAGAGAGAGAGAGAGGTGTGTGACAAGAAGTAGAGAGAGAGAGAGTATAGAATAGAGA